GATGGGAGGTTGGAAATAGTGACACAGCTAGCAATCTGTGTTAAAAGGTTTCCCTGAGCGCTGGCCTGTGTTGGTCAGTGGTTAGAACATCAGCTCTCTCACTGAAGGGTCTTAGGTTCAATTCCCAGTCAAGGACAAGTACCTAGGTTGCAGGTTCGATCCCCAGCACTGGTTGTGATGCATATATCAGGCAACTGATTGATGTGGACTGGTGTGTGTGTGTGTGTCTCTCTCCCCCCTCTTCCCTTCCATTCTAAATATCATTGGTACGGGCTCAATCCCCAGTGTGGGGCATACAGAAGGTAGCCAATCAGTGATTCTCTCTCATCATTGATGTTTGTATCTCTCCCTCCCTCTCTGAAAGCAATAAAAATATGCTTAAAAATCAATGGAAAAAATATCTTCAGGTGAGAATTAACAAAATAATAATAATCTATATATATAAAATGCTAAGTGACTGACCATACATACATCCGACCGTCTGGCCAGTACATATGATGTGCACTGATAATTTAAAAATAAATGTTGACTCATGCATGCACAATACATATAAAGCTCTTATTGGCACCAATCGCATGCACGTTTCAATCTGTCACTGTCGGTCAGAATTTGGTTGTTTTTGTTGACATTCTGAAGCAGAAAGAAAGCTGAGGCGTTGGCAGAATATGTCTGAAGACCAACTACTGGCAAAACATACCTGACACTTCACCTCTGACACTTCTACGATAGAGAAAGGGGGAATAGCGATATTAAAGTGTTTCTTCTAAGCCGAGACCGGTTTGGCTCAATGGATAGAGCGTTGGCTTGGTGACCGAAGGGTCCTGGGTTCGATTCCCGTCAAGGGCATGTACCTTGGTTGCGGGCATATCCCCAGTAGGGGGTGTGCAAGAGGCAGCTGATCGATGACTCTCATCGATGTTTCTAACTCTCTATCTCTCCCTTCCTCTCTGTACAAAATCAATAAAAATATATTTAAAAATAAAATAAAGTGTTTCTTCTAACTAATTTCCTTCCAATGTGCACAAACCTGTGCACTGGGCCACTAGCAATAATACTAATAATAAAAGCTTCCCTGGAGACTGGCAAGCTTGGAATTGTGCTGGTCCCAGGGGGTTTGGGACAGAGCGATGCGGTGACAAACGGTGAAGGCGTTGGCCATTGTTTATTCAGTGAGAACCCAGAGGAGTGGCAGCAAGGAAATTGTGCATCTCCTGACGCCAACGCCAACGCCAGCCTCTCTGCCAGGGAGGCGGCTGGACTGGTATGAACTTGCCAGAGATGAGTGGGCAGCCCGTGTGTGCAGAAAATCAATACCCAGGAAGACTGCAGTGGAGGTGCACTCAGAGTGGAGCCGGATTAAGCCCAACGCCTTTGCCTCCAGCTGCTCCCCTCCCCCAGCACTGAAGGGTAACACTTGCACCCACTTTCCCCCCCTGGAAAAGTGGGGATAAAGTCACTCTCACCAGCCAGGGGAATGAGGGAGGATCAACTGTGAGGAGACAGAGTGTAAGACTAAATGAAAGCCATTCCTTCATCAGTGTGGCTCAGCTGTAAACACTCAGAAACTGTCTTCCCCAAAGAGGGCTTCCTGTTTTCCTGCTCAATGAACTGCTCTTGGTGGACTGACAGCATCTCCAAGACAAGGATGCTCGGAGGGCCCTCTGAGCTCAGCTCCTCAAACAGCCCTGTTCGGCCAGGGCCCTTCTCTCCGTATGCATTAACAAACCGGTTCCGCCCTGGCGGGTTTGGCTCAAGGGTCCCGGGTTCCATTCCGGTCAAGGGCACATGCCCTGGTTGCAGGCTCGATCCCCAGTAGAGGGTGTGCAGAAGGCAGCCAATCAACGAGTTTCTCTCATCATTGACGTTTCTATCTCTCCCTCTCCCTTCCTCTCTGAAATCAATAAAAAAATTTTAAAAAGAAAAGAAAAAAGAAACAGGTTTCTGCCCTGCTGGGATGCAGTGGTTAGAGCACAGGCCCGTGGACTGAAGGGTCCCAGGTTCAATTCCAGTGAAGGAAACATCCTTTGGTTACAGGCTCAATGCCCAGCCCGGGTCCGGGTGTGTCAGGGAGACAACCAATCAGCGTGTTTCTCTCACATGGATGTTACTCTGTCTCTCCCCCTCTCTGAAAATCAATGGGGGGAAATATCCTTGGGTGAGAATTAACAAAAAAAAGAAAAAAAAGAAACCGATTTCTCACATAAAGTAATGCTGAAGGGCTTTCCATTGTGTTTGGTCTGGAGTAGGTTTAAGTCATGTAAGTGAAACCGAATTAATCACCCAGATATTGTGTGTACATCAAAGCACAGACTCCAAAGCGATGAAGCCCAGAGCTAACGAACTGGATGTTAGTTTTCACCTTACGTGTTGGTCTCGGGCTGAGAAATCCAAGTAATGAATTTGGTAAGGGGAACTCTTCTTGAGCTGATCACAACCAGCCATCACCGTTCAAGTAATCACAGCCCAGGAATCTGCTACCCGATCCTCGGCGATCAGAAGGACACAAAAATAACCAAGTATTCCAGCCCACACACGACAGGGCTTCATACAAATTCAAGATGCTTCTGCCTTCTTCTGGATACACACACTGCGTCCTCTTAGGACTGTCCGGTGTGCTGCTCTTTGCTATTAGTATTAGCTGAGGGACCTCTAAACAGTTTAATTCTCTGAGTTTCTCTTTCACAATAATAATGAGGCTGAGCTAAAAGATCTCCAAGGACCTTTCAACGTTCAAATTCCAACTTGAATTTTCAAGTCAACTTTTCCGCGTCTGACTTAGTAGCTCTTATTTTCTGTGTGTTGAGAAGAATAGTAATTCAACCTGCTTTTTTCCATCGAGAAGCTTTATGAAACCACAGCCTAAGCCATCCACCGGATGGGGGCACGAGGACCTCAACTTGCTGGGTGAGTTTCGCATGGAAAACAAAGGGCTGGCAGCCTGGGTCTCACACCGCACTCCGCTCCGAGCGGATATGTTCAAACTCGACCTTCCCTCCCAACAAAGGTGCCAGCAGATGGACTGTCCCTGCCTGTACAGGAAGGAAACCTCAAAATGACTGTTCTTAACCACACCAAAGATGCAGCCCTAGCTGGTTTGGCTCAGTGGTGTCAGCCTGCGGACACAAGGGTTGTGGGTTTGATTCCGGTCAAGGGCAGGTGCCTGGGTTGCAGGCTTCATCCCCAATCTGGGGTGTGCAGAAGGCAGCCAGCCAATCAACGATTCTCTCTTATCATTGATGTTTCTATTTCTCTATCCCTCTTCCTTCTTCTCCAAAATTAATAAAAATATGTAAAGAAAAAAAAAAGTCTACATCCACACAGACTGCAATAAGAGGGCTATATTTTTTTGTTTTTTCCCCCCCACACTGTGCTTATTTTTTATTTATTGATTTTTAATATATTTTATTGATTTTTACAGGGAGGAAGGGAGATAGTTAGAAACATCGATGAGGCAGTCATCGATTAGCTGCCTCTTACACACCCCCTACTGGGGATATGCCTGAAACCAAGGTACATGCCCTTGACCGGAATCGAAACCAGGACCCTTCAGTCCCCAAGCCGACGCGCTCTATCCACTGAGCCAAACCGGTTTCGGCAACAGGGCTGTTTTGAAATGACATGAATTTTACCCACTAATTGGCTGAACAGACAGACACACACACACAAATAAATGTAGTATAATTATGGCTCTTGCACTAATTATAGTCGCTTGTACTAATTTTCAGAAATAAATATACAATTAATTTCTTATAAATGTAAGTTGCTGAGTGTACAACATCTCATCATTGGGCACTAGAGTTTTATCAATATTTTAAAGAAAAAAGTTTATAAATTGAAGGTAAAGACTATAAATCCTTCTTCTAAAATAATAACTTTGAAAGCACTTTTAACTTTGTGAATTTTTATGTCTTCAAAATAACTTACCAGTTCTTTGGAGCTTTTGTTTACATTTTGCCCAGAAATGCATTTACAGCGCTCACTTTTTTGTTTAACCCTCACTGAGGATATCTGACTTTTAGGGAGAGGGTGGAAGAGGGAGAGGAACCTCGGATGCTTCCCATCAGCACCCTGACCAGGAACTGAACCCAATCGGACCCATAAACTTTTGATAAACAGGAGGACACTCCAACCGACTCAACCACCTGGCCAGGTCTAAGTATTAGTAAATTTCCTTCTGAAAAACAAAGCTCAACTGTATAAATAATTGCACAATTTTCTGTGCAATTAGTTATAATTTTTAAAATTAGACTCTTCAATATTTTAGTTATTTTCAAGCTGCCACTCATCCCTGCACATACATAAGCAGGGCACACTTCTGCTGTGTCCCCCAACGGTTGTGTGTGTGTTAAACCCAGTCCTGGACGGTTCATCCTGACCGGGAGGGGCCGAGGCCCTGTCCCACCGGGAGCGGTGTCGGAGGCCGGGTCCGAGGGGAAGCCCGTGTCTAACAGCCACACCGGAGCGGATCCCCCCGGACCGTCCCCAACACCCCGATTTAACTTCAGTCGGAAATGGGAAGAGAGAAGGAAAAGCAGGAAGAAAAGGGAGCGCGTTCACAGGGTCTCCTGAGTCACCGTGTCCGGGACCGGAGGCGGGAACCCTCCTCCGCCGGGAGCCCCGGGAGCCGCACCTCCCGCACCCCCCGCCCGCCGGCCCGTCCGCCGGGGGGAGCGCGCCTCCCCGGGCCCGGCCTGGGGGGGGGGGGGGGGCCGGCCCTCGCCCCTCGGATCGCGCCGGCGGACCGACCGGAGGTCGCCGCGGGCCGCGCTTCCCCGCCGGCCCCGGGCCACACCCCGCGGCCGGGGAAGGGGGTCCCCGATGCCGCCCGCGCCCCCCGCGCCCAGGGCGGCCCGGGAGGGGGGGGCTCGTCCCGGGAGCGGCGCCCCGAGGCCCCGCGGCCGCGCTCCGGGCCGGGCGGGGCAGGCGCCCGCCGTCCGGGGGTGATGGGTGGGGGTGGGGGGTGATGGGTGGGGGTGGGAGGTGGTGATGGGGGGGCTCACCTTGGGGCCCTCGGGGGGCGCGCGCGGGTCGTTCCACGTGGTGGTGCGGCTGTTGTGGTCCACGAAGAAGGGCCAGCCGGTCTGCGGGTCGACCTTGATCTCCCAGCCGGGGGGCAGCGGGTCGCGGTCGCCGCTGCCGGACGCCGCCTGCATCACAGGCGAGTGGGCGGCGGCGCTCATGCCGGGGCCGGGGCCGGGGGGGCCGGGGTCCGGGGTCGGCCCGGAGGGGTGCGGGGCCGGGGTCGGAAGCCGGGGTCGGCCCGGAAGGGGTGCGGGGCCGGGGGGGCCGGGGCCGGGGTCGGCCCGGAAGGGGTGCGGGGCCGGGGCCGGGGTCCGGGGTCGGCCCGGAAGGGGTGCGGGGCCGCGCGGTCGCGGGTGCGGGAGCGGGGCCTCGGGCCGCGGCCGGAGCGGGAGCTGCGCCGCCGACGTGTCCGGGCGGCCGGGGCACCTTTATGAATCGAAGCGGCGGGTGACGTGGCCCGGGCGGGGTGGAAGCGTCTGGAAACGGCCGCCCCGCGGCCAGCGGGGAAGGAGGAGATAAAGGGAGGCGGCAGCTGGCCGGCTGGAAACTTCTGGGCCCATCCAGGGAAGTTGGCGGCGCGGCCCGGGCGGAGCTCCGCCCTGAGTCATCGGCTATAATGGGGCCGCGGCGGGCGGGGCGGGGCGGGGCCTGGGAGGGCGCCCCTCCCCCTCCTCCCACCCCTCCCCCTCCTCCCCCCTCCCCCCTGCCCCATCCCCTCCTCCACCCCCACCCCCTCCTCTTCCCACCCCTAGGCCCCCCGGGGTCCCCTGCCGCTGGGGGCGGCGTCTGGAGGCCCCCGGCCGGGTTGGGGGTTCCTCTCCTCGGAGTATCCGGGACCGGAGTCTGCGGCTCCTTCGTATAAAAAACACTGTCATCGTTGGGCCTTGAAAGTCGCTGGTTTTAAGCTGGAGTTTCGCCCACCTTCACCCCCCACCCCTTGCTCCCTCCTGTACCGGTGCTCCGGACGCTGAGGCTCTCGGTTACGTTTTAATCGCTGTGTGTGTGTCTTGTTTCTCCCTGTGGGCTCAGGAATGTGGATCTGCCTGAGGAGGCCAGGGAGAACGTGGAAGAGCGGGTGGAAATTCACCTGCCTGCCTCTGGAAACCCAGGGAGAATGCGAGATTGCATCAGCGGCGCATAGTTTTATGCTCCTGAGGCTCAGACACAGAAACTGGCACCGCAGCGAACAACTGTAAGGAAGACCACACTCTTTGGAGGTTTGGGCCTTTTTTGCTATCTTAAATCCTGACATACATGTAGGAAGAAAGGACCTTATTGAAAGGAAAATACTTTGTGTCGTTGACTCAATGATGGCTGCGCTTGTAGTAACCTCAACCAAGCACCCAGTTTCCCTCGGGGGAGAGAATGAATGAGCACCAGAGAACTGCAGGCATGCAGACTCGTCCCCTTCCCTAAAACAACATTTTGAAAGGTTGCCTTGGACTGATCATTGGGCCCAATTTTCTTTTCCTCTTCTTTTTTTTAATATATATATTTTATTGTTTTTTTTACAGAGAGGAAGGGAGAGGGATAGTTAGAAACATCAATGAGAGAAGCATCCATCAGCTGCCTCCTTATTGGGGATGTGCTCGAAACCAATGAACATGCCCTTGACTGGAATCGAACCTGGGACCCTTCAGTCCGCAGGACAAGGCTCTATCCACTGAGCCACACCTGTTAGGACTGGGCCCACTTTTCCAACTCAAGTTCAGAGCCTACCCTGGGATGCTTAGAGACAACACCTCAGCCCTCAAATCGCCCCTTTTGGAGCAAATGCTGGGGAGGCCTGCCAATCATTGCCAGTGGCACCGTTCCCACTTCCATAGGTCTGCTCCTCTTCTCTGAAGTCCCAAAGCTCAGCTTTGTAAACACACAGAGGTGACTGAGGGGCTGGCTCAGCTCACCAAACACGAGAGAGACTGACGTATGAACCGAAATGGCAGTGTGCTCATTTACCATAAGAAGAAGGAGGGGGACCCTCAAGTTCCCTGGTCAGTATCTGTCTCGTTCTTCCTTATCTCCAAAGCCCAGCACAGCGCTGAGCCCAGAGTCCGGAGTCAAGAAATACTGATGCTTACCAAGGATTGACTCCAAAGTGAATTTTTATTTCTATCTTCTTCCATTGCTTCATTTGCTTTCCACTGTAGCTGCAGTTCAAACAAAGAGGGCATTCTTAGCTGGGCTCCCCCCGCCCCCCCAGACTACATCAGGGAGGAAGCAGGTTCCTCTGGGGTCACTGCAGCTGCTCCCCAGGAGCTCCCGTGGGCGTGTCTGACATGTGGCCGTGGGCCTCGGAGAGCTGGCGGGAAGAATCTGCGGAGCCATGCCGAATAAGGAAGCGCATGTCCGTCCTGGATGGTTTTTTCACTCCAGCTCTCAGAACACTCCTCCCCAGTGGGTGTCCCTTCAAATGCACATGCGGACACACTCCCAATGTGATGCTATTTGGATGAGGGTCTTGAGGGGGTGATTAGGTGATGAGGGCGGAGCACTCATGAGAGTAATGCCCTCATTAAAAAAAAAAAAAAAAAGACTGGCCTGGCCAGCGTGGCTCGGTAGTTGAGTGTCGAACTATGAATGGACTATGATATGTGCTGGGAGGTCACGGTTCGATTCCCGGTCTGGGCGCATGCCTGGTTGTGGGCTTGATTCCTAGTGTGAGGCCTGTAGGAGACAGCCGACCAATGACTTTTTCTCATCATTGATGTTTCTCTCTCTCTCTCTCTCCCTTCCCTCTGAAATCAATAAAAATATATTTTAAGATAATAATAATTAAAAATAAATAAATAAGGAAGGAGGGAAGGAAAGAAGAAAGGAAGAAGAAAAGAAAAGGCCGAAACCGGTTTGGCTCAATGGATAGAGCGTCGGCTTGGGGACTGAAAGGTCCCGGGTTCGATTCCGGTCAAGGGCATGTACCTTGGTTGCGGGCATATCCCCAGTAGGGGGTGTGCAAGAGGCAGCTGATTGATGACTCTCTCTCATCGGTGTTTCTAACTATCTCTCTCCCTTCCTCTCTGTACAAAATCAATAAAAATATATTAAAAAAAAAAAAGAAGAAAAGGAAGAATAGAAAGAATGGCTGGAACCCAGCTGGTGTGGTTCAGTGGTTGAGTGTTGACCTATGAACCAGGAGATCATGGTTCGACTCCCTGTCTGGGCACATGCCCTGGTTGTAGGCTTGATTCCTAGTGTGAGGCCTGTAGGAGACAGCCGACCGATGACTTTTTCTCATCACTGATGTTTCTCTCTCTCTCTCTCTCTCTCTCTCTCTCTCTCTCTCTCCCCCTTCCCTCTGAAATCAATAGAAATATTTGTTAAAAAGAGAGAAAGACTGGAGAGCTCCCTCACCCTTCCACCATGTGAGGACAGCGCGGGTGAACTGAGATGTGGGAGTCCCAGGCCCACTGGGGCTGAGATACCAGGCCTTCTGGAGTTCATTGTCCCGGATCAAAAACCTAAACATGACCCAGGATATTCCTTCCTCTCTTACCATCCAGCCATCACCCAGGCTGCAGATCCCACTTCCTCAATGTCCCTGGGCACCGTGCTGCCGCCTCCTCCTCCAGTGCCACCGGCCTTACCCTGGGCACCTTATCTCTCATCCGGGCCTGGCAGGAGCTTCCAACCTCATCCAGGCGCAATCCATTGCCGACACGGCAGCTGGTGCCATTTTCAAGTACAAAGGACAGTCCTTGCCCTGGTTAGATGGCTCCTATCGCCCTGTGTCCACGTCCACACTCCTCGGCCTGGTGCTGACCGGCGGGACTGGGTCATGAACGCACCATGCTTTCTCTTCTCTGCGTTCACTGCTTCCTCCCCTCCTCCCGCGCCTTCCCCTGCCTTGGCTGGCTCACTCTTCCTCTCCAGGCATCCCCTTCGGCATCCCTCTCCCCCTCACCTTCCTCCTCTGGGTCCTGTGCCCCTGCTAGATGCTCCCAATACAAACCCTGGGCCACACTGTCAGGTCCATCGCCTTGCAATTGCTTGTTGGATGGTCTGATTGGCTTATGGGTTGAGTTTCTTGAGGACCGGAGAAGAACATTTTTTAAATATATGTTATTGATGTTTTTACAGAGAGGAAGGGAGAGGGATAGTTAGAAACATCAAAGAGAGAGAAACATCGATTAGCTGCCTCTTGCACACCCCCTACTGGGGATGTGGAATCAAACCTGGGACCCTTCAATCCCCAGGCCAATGCTCTATCCACTGGGCCACACCGGCCAGGGCCGGAGAAGAATCTTGGGCCACTGTGTCGCCAGCCTCTGGCACGGTGCCTGGTAAACAAGTTCAACAGCAGCAGCAGCGGTCACAGCTGCCCTTCAGGGAGTCTTCAGGTGCTGTGTTACGGGCTTTGTGGGATTACCTCACTGAGTCTCGGTGGTGGGGGCTGGGATTCCCTTTCAGCAATGAAGGGCTGGTTCTCCCACCCGCTGCAAACACTGCGGGAAGCCAGGCCCAGCTGCCCCGGGGGAACTGGCTCAACTGCAGAAAACGCCCTGGCCAGGCCTCCCCCCCCCCCCCCAACCTGCATGGGGGACTGACCTAGGGAGGGGCTTGAGGGCCTGCCCTTCTGGACAGACTGAGAACAGGGCCGCGGCGCTTTCCCAGCTCCAGAGCGCCCTCTGGGGCTGGCTGCTCCTTCCTTTGGGACTGCGTGGCCACTCAACGCCCTCCTCTGCCCAGTCCTGCCTCCTGCACGCCCTTTAAGGGCGTTGCTGTAAGAGAATTCCTTCCTCAAATCCTGCAAGCTCCCTTGGGCCTCAGTCTGCTTCCCAGTCCCCTCAGCAAGCAGCCTTCTGGGTGTGAGCATGATTCTCCCCGGACAGATGAAACAGTGAAGGTTTAGAAGCGCTAAGGAGCCCTGACCGGTGTGGCTCAGTGGATAGAGCGTCGGTCTGTGGGCTGAAAGGTCCAGGGTTCGATTTCCCTTCAAAGGCATGTACGTTGGTTGCAGGCACATCCCCAGTAGGGGGTGTGTGGGAGGCAGCTAGTTGATGTTTCTGGCTCTCTATCCCTCTCCCTTCCTCTCTGTAAAAAAAAATAAAATAAAATAAAAATAAAATGTGTGTTTTTTTAAATGCTAAGGAACTTGCTCGGTGTCCCAAAGCTCATGGCTGGGGGAGGCGGGTCTGAATGTAGGTAACTGGATCTAAAGCCCATGCCATTCACCGGGCACTCACTCAGTACACCCAGTGAGCGGATGGATGGGTGCACAGTCGGTCTCC